CTACGGAGGATAAGCTTGACCACCTTGTAGGTGAGGCCGCTTTAAAATAAAAAGTGATTAAAAAAGCAAAAATAAAAGAGAATTATAAAACCGCTGTGCAATCTTCTGACCTCAATAAGCTTCAAAAAGAATGTAGGAAAATTTTTAACACAACTAACTTCTTCACTACAATAAGCTTAACCCTTTGCCCTACGAAGTCCGCGAAGAATACGCTCCCAGCTTATAGCCAGGATTATATTCTATCTGAAACACCCCTGTTAAACTTTCGACTACCTCAAGGGCTGAGTACTGGAGGGAGCACCACGAAGCGGGTAAAGAGAATAGCTTAATCTTCTGGGATGACGCCAAATTCAAGGTATAATTAAGCCGCCTCCTTCTTAAAAAAGTTTTCGAAAAATGCACCTACAGGTACAGTTCGACCCCAATATGGGAAAGCTAGCATTAAGTGAAAAGAGTCGGTGATGGTGTACATGTGGTATCTCACTTTGAAACTGACTCAGCCAACAGAAGCCGTAAACGCAATAGATCGAAAGATGAATGTATGTGAACCTAGGAACTACTCTACCCACAGAGACGAATCCTCAGCGAAATTAAGTTTCTACGAGTTGGCCGGGAACCTGCCTCAGGTCGTGCACGTCGATGAGCTTACAGCCAGCACCAAGCCGTTTCAAGCCAAACCAAGCGACTTTAGGTCAATAAGCCTGTCATAATTTTTCATTGAAAGCATTGAGGATAATTTCGGAATTTAAATAGCCTCGATAATTCAGAGATTTCTTAAAAAGTTAGGAATACCCCAGCTACATTCCAGCAAGTAAAAAGTGCTGCCGCTAGTACCCAATCCAAACAAACATGTACTGAGAAGCTTGGAAAAAAAGATACCAGTTGCTCTATATTTTTGTAAACTTAAGAAGCTAGAGGGCGCGTATAGGGCCACTCTTGTTGGAATCGGATAAGGTAGCCGCAGTGAGGCTAAGAAGCTCTGATATTTCCTTCAACCGTTCGGGAATCCTTGAAAACTGTGACGTTATACAGTCGGCGCAGTACCAAACCCGGACACGCAAACTTGCAAAGTATTTTTAGTCGGTGATCGATCGCGAGCGCACGAAGAAACTTCTTCTGCTCTTGGTTTGCGCAAACTTTCGGTTTTGACAAATGTCTTCGCCGTGCGCTGGCCTTTAGGAACCCATACAGGGTGACTTTATATAGTACATAATCCTTATTGTCGCCACTTTTTCGCACCAGACCAAACAGGAAGCTTAAAAACAGCTTTGAATGCTTGCTTTTGAAGAGGCCAACTTTGGTTCGAAACCTATTTTAAAGTAAACAAGTATTTTTTTTATTTTAGTAAGAAAAACTTATTTATTTGTATTTTTTTTTTTGAAAGCAAGGCAATTCATTTTCATTTTTATTTCTTATGCTTAAACTAACCTACTGGAAAACTGTTTCATTAAGCAATTAAAGTAATTAAAAGTCAACCAAAAAACATCGATTACAAACTATTTTTTTATTTAACTAACCAAACTTAATGCGATTTCTTGTTAGCTATGGAGCACACGTCTGCCGAAATAACATCAAAATCGTGCGCCTAAGCTTATGCTACACATTAGGATTGTACAATATTTTAATAAATTTTATGGCATACTTTTATGGTCACATATTTTTTCGGTATGCAAAAGGTACTTGTATTTTTGATTGCCAAAAGCTATGCATCGATTTGAATACTAGACTCATTTTTGCTATTCCTACTCTTAAAGTCTACTTACGTCGCTGGCTTTTCATAATGTCGTTCGCTGTACGGTTTGCGCGTCATAATAATTCACAGGCCGCGATAACAATTTCGCGGGTATAGTTTTTTGAAGACGCAATTCGCGCTCGAACATTAGCGACTTCTCTCTAACATTCGATACCACGGGCGGCGAACTGACGTCAGCATCGTCGAGAAAACCAAAAACATCGTCCACCATCTGCACATCGATGTAATTGTTGTCGGGCGTTTTTTGTGCTTTTAACTGCTTGTCCGCTTCCAAAGCTGAAATAGTCACGCTTGCTGGGCTAGCCGCCACGCCACCATTCATGCCATTTGCGATATTCTGACCATTCATGTAATTTACGGCGTAAACGCCATTTGTAAAGCTTACAGCGCGTTGTCCATTCAAAGCGCCATTCATTGGCGCTTGAACTGCGGCTGGTATACCAGCAGCTCGTAACGCTGGCGCCATCACAGCCGTCGCTGTTGTCGCATGCGCAGCTGCAGCTACCATTTTAGCACTGTGACGTGCTTGCCGCTCCCTCTCCGCCTGCTGATGTTCTTTGGCCTGCCGCACCAGCTGCTCCTCGTCAGCACGCAACGTGAGCAGCTGCTTTCGACGCTGCTGTCGCTCTGCATAGCGCGCTTTAAACGCCTGACGCGCCAAGTAGCCGCGGCAATAGGCTTGTAAGTATATCAAGCGTGAGCGCAGCATTTTGTACTCAGATGCCAAGCGTTTTTGTGCGATGTACGCGCCCAGTCGATGGAAACCTTGGCGCATGATGAGGAACTTACGTCGCTGCTTGTAGCCACGCCACACTTTTTGTATTGTGAGCGCTGCCGCGCGATAACGCTGCAGCTGGCGACGAAAGAGCACCCGCCGTAAGCCGCGTTGTATGGTTATAATCGATTGTAACACTTTGCGCGCGCGCTCCTTTTCCAAGAATGTGTCATCTATGTCTTTTAGAAAAACTTTATGCCGCCCGAATTGGTAATCAGCTGTAGCGGGCAGTAACTGCTTGCAGATCTGTACGGTGATTTGACGGCAGTTGATGTCAGGCGTGGGTGCGATTGCGGGCAGCAGCAAGCGGTACCGCTCAACGAAGTCCTTATAACTGTGGCGTATGGGATAGCCAGCGTGACGTATACGTGCCGTCTCCATCATGCCGGAGTAGCGTAGCTGACGCACGCATAGCTCGCGGTCGAAAAGCTGTAAAATATGAAAGTGAAATTAGTTTATTCTCGATTAAAAACAAAAAACTGCTTTATGCTCACATTAGGTTTCTTGTCCTCATTCGGTTTAATACATCGTATAAAGAAAGGGTGCGCTGCTGCGAGTGTACGCATAAGCAGGTCCAATGAATTGCGGAACTTCACCGACAACGTCAACTGTTTCTTTATTGTGTCGTAAGGCATTTCCATTGGAAAGATATCGACGAGAAATTTATTTTTAGATTTACCAATCATTTCACGTAAATCCATGCTGAACGAATCGCGATTTTTTTCCAGAAATCCATTCGGGTTGTACATCACTACGCCAGCATAGTGGCGTATGCCAAAGAGAGAATCTTGATTGGATTTTGGTTTCACATAAATCGAACGATTGCCATGTTGCACGTGCAGTTTCTCGAGCAGTGTGTAATCGGTGCCTGCGGAGTTGAATTAAATTTATTGACTTAATTAAAAATATTGGTTTAAGTCATTGGATATATAGTAGATATATACGATATTATATATATAGTAAGCATACAAATCTTATTTTACCTTTATTAAGGCTAGACAGTGAGAGATCGGCATGCAATTTCGGCTATATACATATGTACATGCATATAAACTATTTTGTAAGATATTAAGTTTTTATTATTTAAAAAATCAAGGATACCAATTTTTCTTCTTCTAAAAATTGATAACGAAGGCAAGGACTATTGAACAGCACAAAAATACCAGAAAAAACTGGGCAGTAAAAATAAATCGTCACTAGACACGAATAAAGACGTGCTAATGTTTCGATACCGAAAAACGACGCTTGAAAAAAATGCGAGAAAAAACGAGTAAAAACCTTCGGCGAAGAAAGACGCGTAAAAAAAGATTTATACCTGGCCAAGGACTCTTACTTCAGCATCTCTTTGTGGAATTTACCATTTCGTAATTTTCGAGATTACTTCGGGATTTTCAGGCGTTTCGGGATTGTCGGGACTATTTCAGGATTTTCGGAATTGTTGGAACTATTTCGATATTTTCGGGAATACATCGGAATTTTCAGGAGTTTCGGGATTGTCGGGACTAACTGGCGGGAAAAACTAAGTACATTTTCTTAAGGTATTTAGCACTTTTAAGCAGGGATCACACGATTTTTACATTTGTACAGATTTGGCTATTTTCACCGTAACAGAGTGGTGTTATTTGGAAAGCTTTTACTGAGCTGCTCTTATTCTCGATAAAATTTTCTAGCCTACACCACCCTGTGACTGCCAAATGTACAAATCATGTGATCTCTGCTTTAGGTCTGTTTGTTCACGTAGGTTTTAAAATTTATCTGCCCTTTAAATGCCAATTTTATTGTGAAAAATGAATGGCAGATAAATTTTAAAACCTACCACTAGCGGCCGCTGTGGTGTAGTGGTTAGCAGTGCGCGCTTCCACTCCGCAGGGCCCGGGTTCAAGCCCTGGTCAAAGCAATATTGAAAAAAATATAGAAACAAGTAATTTTTAGCAAAAAAAAAACCGACTTAACAAAAATATATATATATCTATATATTTCATGATCCAATGATCGGATCTAAACCAAATTAGTATGGAACCACCTCTGAGACACTACCTTTCCGTTGCAAAAAGAACTATTGAAATCGGTTGACGTGGTGCAAAGTTATGCGGTAACATACATAAAAAAAAAAAAATTATATTCCGATGAACTGATGACCTCCTCCTTTTTTGGAAGTCGGTTAAAAAAGAACGGTCCAGCGCCTTTGTCTTGGCCTGTAGGCTGTATCGGAGACACAGCCGCTAAATTTAAACGTAGAATACGTTGTATGGTTAAGAGCACATCCAAGTCAAAAACGAAAACACACACTAAGAAAAAAATATCGATAACAAAATCGATAAAAATACCGATCGCAAAATCGATAACAAAATCTAATACAAAAACGATAACAAAATCGATAAACTAATCGATACACAAACGTCTGAGATATAGTGAGTTTAAGTGAAAATTTCGCAAAAATTGGTCGCTGTGAAAAATCAGGTTTTGTGGCTTTTTCTACATGAAGGCGTGAAAGCAAAAAATCACCCTGGGGCCATATGCGCAGAGAGAGGCAATTTGTATTTCGCGCATTGCGCGACCTTCTATGTATAGATCTTGGGTCGTACCTCGGCAGGCAATGGCAAACCTCCGAGCAGGGACCGAACACAACAGTTATTGATGAAAACTGTCATGGAAAAATTCACTATGAAGGAAATGTTCTAAAACTAATTGATACCTACCAATCGATTTCTTTTTTTTTACCGAGACTCAAATTTGAAAAAAAAAATTTTATTTGCAATTTTTATGCAAAATTTAAAAAAAAAATAACAATTATGTTTGAATTTTATGTTATAAATCCTAAGCAACAATTATTTTTAATTTTTGTATTATATGTTTTAGATAACAGTTATTGAAGATATTTATTTATAAAATTCATCCATAAAAATCAGTCAGTGATAAATACCTAAATACTTTTGTACTTCGTATTTAGTAATGCATAAAATTTTGCCCATGACTAATACATACCTGCATTAAAATCAAAACTTACCGATTATATCGGGCAAAAAAAAAATGAGGCAAACTTTGGCGAAATAAAAAATCAGAATTTTAAAAGGAAAGCAGGAAATGCAATCTACGATAAAAGACGATTCTAGCGGCATATTTAAAAATTGGTATGATACATTTTTCACTATGCGTTTTTGGCTTCCAAATTTTAGAATAACTTTTATCTAAGGTCTCTTGTTTAAATTGCTAAAAATGTATGTCAAAATTATGAGTAACCAAAAAAATTTCTTAAACCCCAAAAAATAAATGACAAATTCGTGTTCAATTTGGAAACAGCAAAGCTTTACGCACAGGTTTTAAGTGAGCAAAAATATTTAGAATTAAATACAAATGTATGTCCAGGTTTTACATACTAAAAATGTATGTAATCGTGTCTCTCAATAAACCATATTTCATTACCACTTTTTAATAAATTAAAAATGTATGTCCAGTTTTTCAATGGCAAAAAAATATGTCCATTAATACCAAATTCATATACAATATGTAATTATCCAAAAGTTTAAATAAATTTCCAGTTTGTCAACGTACAAACGTTTATGTGCATATTTTTTATTATTAAGAGTACATATGTATATATACAAATATATACAAGTTATAAATAAAATAGGTTTCTAGTTTTTAAATTACAAAAAAAAATCATACCCATGTGTTATACAAACAAAAATTCATGTGCCGTTTAAAAATGTCCAAATTGTACACAGTCTGTACAACATATGTCTCGGTTTTACTACGAGTAATACCAATCTCTCAATGAAAAAAATGAGTACGAGTTTTTAAATACTAACTCAAAAAGGCGTGTCCAGTGTTTATTAATTATGTCCAGATTTTCAATGACAAAACAATTATGCCTTGTTCTAATATAATCACACATTACTGTCCAATGCGAAAAATCCGCATTCGGTTCTTAATTGACTAAGTATTTATGTCCAGATTTAAAACTAACAAAAATTCATGCCCGGTTTTTAAAAACCAAAATTTATGTCCGGGTTTTAATTGCCAATAATTTATATCCAGTTCCTCAATAAACATGACCGTGT